CACAGTGGGGAGCAGGGGAGTGTCTCAAAACACTTCTCAGCCGATTTAATGCTATGAAACACATCAAATTTTGATTCCTTAAATGCTCTGTGCAATGCTCTCTTCATTTGAATATTCCATACTTGACCTTTATCTTCTAACCATGCATCTATGTCAACAAGAGTTGCACCTGTTGGAGAGCATTTAACATAAAAAGATCTGTGGCCCTGACCAGTGTGGCTCCGTTGGCTGGTGTGTAGGAGCCCACGCCCAGGTTGTGGGTTCAGTCCCCAGAAGGGGTGCATACGAGAGGCAGCTAATTGGTATTTCTCTCCCTCTCTGTCTCCCTCCCTTCCTCACTCTAAAAACAAGTAAATAAATTTTTTTAAGATCTGTTTTTTTACATCATTTTAACACTCATCAGTCCCTTGAGGGAGGAGCTTGCTTGGAGATCTGATTTTAGTTTTAGCTTCACTTATTTTCATAATTTCTGTCTTTGATTTGTTCAATGTTTCTAGTATTACACTGAAGTCTGTCAGATGGTTTAACCTGTTGAATTTCAGCATTCTCTCCTTCATCCAGGTTCCCGGCCTTCATCCAGTTTGATCCATTCCTTGAAGATTCTGTCTCGAGGCTCACTGCCGTCACCAAAACAAACTCAATTTGATGACAGCTTTTGGCCTCCAAAACAGCCATTTTTTATCATCACTCTTTCCACCCATGCCGGCCCTGGTCCCGCAGACAGGGCCGGCATGGGTGGAAAGGACCCATGGGAAAGGACCCACGTGACAGGACCACTAGAAAGGACAGTGACATCTGTCTCCCATTGCAGCGAGCTGGCCCAGTACGTCTAGAGAAGATGGGGGCCATCTTTTATTCATTGTTTAATTGGGTTGTCTTTTCATTATTGAGGTGCAGTAGTTCTTTCCCTATTCTAGGCACAAGTCCTTATCAGGTAGGGGATTTGCAAAAATTTCCTTCCATTCTGTGGATTATCTTTTCACTTCCTTCCTGGTGCCCTTTGAAGTATGAAATTTTTAAATCTTGCTAATGTCCAGTTATTCACCGTTTTCTTTGAACTTTTTAAACATAAAAGCAGACCCTGTGCAAACTCAGGGTGGCAGGCGGCTCTGTGTGTGTGTGTGTGTGTGTGTGTGTGTGTGTGTAAGTCGTCAGCTGTGTCAGCTTGAAACAAGCCTTTCCCCAGCATGGGAATGTTTACCCTGTCACTGTGCTTTTCTTCCTTCTCTCTTTTTAAAAAATAGTTTATTTTTATTTTATTTTGTTCCATTTCCATTTATTCCTTTTATACCCTTGCCAACCTCCCCTCACCCTCCCGCCCCCACCATGTCACTGTTCTTAACTAAAGAGTATAGATACACTGCTAAGTTTTTAACTCACTACTTCAGACTGATCAACCATATTTTACTCTGTCTATGCAACATAACTTATTTTACTTTATCTGTAGAGGTTACAGATAAGTGCCTTCCAACTCTAACCAGGCTGAAACATAGCCAAGAAGGCTGAAAGACTCTATCCTGTCATCTGCATGCTTCCGTTTCGATACAAGACAGGGACCTCAGATGTGCCTACGTCTTATGTGGCCCGATTCTCAGACTCAGGAAACATTATTTAATAGTATCTGGGCCTTGATACTTGTCTGACAGGTACTATTTGAATAGGGTTATTTAACTGTAATATTTGAATTATTATTTCTTATAATTTTTTACTAGTTTATCTATGTTCTCTAATAGTATCAATTGGTTATTTTTTTTAAAGTCTGAAAAGCACCACACTGGTAATGAACATCTGCATATTCCCAAGAGCCACTGAGTAACTGAGGCTACGTCAGAATGTACCTATGAACAAAAACATACCTTCGTAAAGTTGCTTTGATCATGACTGGTCTTAAATATTTGATTATTTCTAAACCAATTATTGAAGTGGATCTTAATTGTTGTCACTGTCACTACCCTCGTCTTTACCAATTAAATACTAACCTGAACCTCTGTGCTGAGAAACTGCCCAGTGCACGATGTGTCCTGTCTTAGACATGAGGTCATGGGAGACGTAAGCCCACTAGAGCTCACTTCAGAAAAGGAGGACCTGCCAGAACAAATGGTAACGACCACATGAGGCCTTGGGGAGTAGAACCAATTAAACCAAGAACTGAAACTGGATTTCTCTCTCTCTCTCTCCCTCCCTCCCTCCTACTTTTCTTATTCAGCAGTATACCAGGACCCAACTTGGATATCCACAGACGTAGGTTCAGCCTGTACACATACATCTGTTCCTCACCCTGGTCCAACTACTTGTAGCCAAGACAGCAGGGTGATCTGGCCCGACACTGTCTTGCCAGAACCCATAGAAACAGGCTCCCTGAGGAGAGCTATGAGCAAATTTTCTAAGAAAGGATGAGTACAAGTAGGAAATGATTAATATCTGTGGCACTTTTCATGAGCATTGTCCAAGACCCCCTGAGAGATGGGTGGCCCCCACGGCTGCTGTGCAGTAGAAAACTACCTGGAACATTCTGGCAATTTTGAAATGTTCTATGAAAAAGATCTTAGAAAATGTTCTAAGATAGAACCAAGAAAAACAAGGCACAGATAATTCTGCTTGTACCAAAAGGGTACGTAATAAAAATATAGGCTTTAGATTTAATTTTGTATATGAAAATAAGCATCTAACAATACTGACCCCGTCCACTTCTCCTATGAGTGTGGAAGATATAAGAAGCATAATAGGAGGAAGTCAAAGCAAAGATGAGATCCACCCAAAGTAGAATTCAAGGCTTAATTTTCTGTTTAGTTCATTATGCCCCCTCTCCTAACACAGGAGACACTTCACTGGCTGATCTGATACTAACTAAGCCAAAATGGATTATTGTATGTAATTTATCAGTGGACACATATAGACTAGAGGACACATATAGATTAAAGACAATGGGCAAGATCCAGCTTCATGTCATAGTGACTAAATGGACCCTCCCTGAGAATGCCACTGGTGATCTACAGTGGTGGAGATGGAAAAGACAGGAGCCTGTGAAGTATTGCAATAAGAAAAGGGCCTTCTATGTGAGCCTTAAAAAAAAAATTCTCTAACAATGAAGGCAAAATTAGCTTGCATGGTGCTGAAATCATCAACAAAAAATACTGAAAATTCTGCAGTCTAGACCAGTCCTTGATTCTTACACACTTCAGAATTCTCAAAGGCCTCAACTGCTAACAGGCAGGCACTCAGAGGCTCTGAAAATGTTAACACAGGCATCTAAACACCTGTCCTCCTGTCCTCCCAGTAAAACAAGATGGTGAGCTGCACATGGAGGAATAGGCTCTTTGATTCCCCTATCCCAGAGGAGGTGTTGGAGCCACAAACATTATCTGTGACTTAAATGTGAACCAGGCAACCTCCACGATGGCACCGCACAACATTCTGTTCTGTTCACCTGGAGGGCATTTCCTGCCATCGTGACTTACTGAGGACGTGTTTAGCTCGTGAGGAGCTTCTTAAATGTGTCCTCCTCATTTATAAGGCTTTAAATTTTACGCTATTTTAAACTTACTTTTTAATTTCAGCTTTTGGGGGCATAATTAACACACAAAATTGTAAGATATTTAAAGCACACATCGTGGTGATTCATATACATTGTGAAAATACTCCTCCATCTAGTTCATTAACACAACCATCACCTCACATATGTATTTATCTTTCTTTCTCTTTTATTTTTTGTGGAGGGGGCTGGGGGGCATTTAAGTTCTACTTTCCTAGCAAATTTCAATTACATAATAAAGTGCTATCAGCTATAATCACCATATTCTATATTAGACCTTCCTCATTTTATAGCAGGAAGTTTATAAACCCACACTAGTGAAATAAACAGAATATGCAATGTTTTCAAAAATCCTAAATACGTCTCTAAAAGTTGTGACAACTGGATATTCAAATTGCTACTGAAGAAAAGAAATGGAGCGTGCCCGTTAAATGAGCTTCAAATGATGCGATGGAATTATCATTAGCTGTCATCACCTCCCATTAGATCTGTGCTAATACATGTTATGGAAATGTGCAAATATCTTCTCTTCCTCTAAAGAATTCTTTGTTGCTAGAAAAAGGCTCTGTACTCATCCTTAACACACAAAGTTGGGACATTCGGATCTCCTTAGACATAAGAAACTTCAGGAAAAAGAGGAGTGATGCCTGAGATGCTACGAAAGTAGAGGAGCTGCCTTCTGCCTCTGCCAGCGTGTTCCTCTTATCTCTGTGTCACCCATCCTACTAGTAGGATGACTGGAACATGGTAACTGTTCATTCCTTTTTTAAAAAGATTTTATTAATTTATTTTTAGAGAGGGAAGGGAAGGAGAAAGAGAGAGAGAGAGAGAGAGAAACATCAATGTGCGGTTGCTGGGGGCCGTGGCCTGCAACCCTGGCATGTGCCCTGACTGGGAATCGAACCTGCGATGCTTTGGTTCACAGCACGCGCTCAATCCACTGAGCTACGCCAGCCAGGACAAGTAACTATTCATTTCTGTATGAAGTGTTCAAAAAAGTGAGTGAATACATTAATAAATCAATCCCAGGAAAAGCATAGGACTTTATTATGTGGAGAATCCAGTTCACAAAAAGAAGCAGATACCATTTTTTGCTGTATATAATATATGCCCACATTTTTTGGCCCAAATTTTCAAAAAAAATCTTTCATTGTAATTTTTTAATTCCATTTTTTATTTATTTATGTTTAGATACTTTTTGTACTATAAAGGAATTTTAGCATTTATTTTTTAACATAGTATGGTCCAATAAATTTTATGTAACACATAATTACAAAGCATAAGAACACATACAAGGTATTTCAGGTACTGCCCATGTAGAATGTGCATCCTTATTTTTCCCTCAAAATTTGGACAAAAAGTGTGCATTAGACACAGCAGAACACGGTGAATCCCTTGCCCCAGCATGTTGCATTAGGTGGCAGTTTTGATTTAGGAAGAGTGGAGGCCAGGGGGGCGAGCACTTTATTTAGAACTGGATGGTGACGAGCGTGACGGTGGGTAAAATCATGTAGTCCAGCTTCTCATCGGACTGCACCGGAAATGGCTTGTGTGGCTCTTCAACTTTCTGGTACTTTTTGTTTTCACCTTCATTAACACAACATAATTTCCCATTTAGACATGATATTTCATATATTTCTCCAATTGCACATTTCTTCCTGCAGTAGCCTGCTATGTTACTAAAGCATTTCTTGGGTCGTGCGGCATCTGGGCACAGAAAACAACATTGGACTCAGGTTAGTTCCAGAGGCAAAGGGGAAGAGGTGTGTGGTTCCCCACCAGCTGGGGCCTCCTGTGGTCCCAAAGTGAACCTTATGCTGAGACAAGAAATCTCAGAGCCTCCTCCTTGAAAAATCATCTCGAGTTTGGGACATCCAAAACTCCAGCTCCTGGCCAATACTCAATTGGCTCTGAGAGCATTAGAACATACGACAAAAGAGAAGAGAGAGCTGAATTCATGGTTACTGCCTGAAGCTAGTCCCACCCCTAGGACCCTGGCAAATCTGACTCTGTCTTCCATGCTACAAAGTCAGCACTCCCTCCGCCCTGCCCCAGTCCTGTCCAGAGAGTGCCAACTTGTGACCATGGCATAATTCAGAGTCAAATTAACTTTTAAAGAGGATCAAAGACAGGCCTTTTTAAGTTAACAGTAAAATTGGGTATCACACTGACATGGACAGCAGAAACCTCCCTCTGCAGAGACCACGTGGGTCTCAAGGATAAAGGTCATTAAGAACCCCTTCCCTTATTCAGTTGCTATGACTTCTCCATAACCTGCACGTTTGCTCGCGCGCACGTGTGCTCTCTCTCTCTCTCTCTCTCTCTCCATCCTCCTTTCGATCTCAGATAAATGTGATTCCCAGGAATCAAACTCAATTCCATGTATACCTGTCTCCCTAGAGATCCAAATCGTCACCTATTCAGAGTATGGCACTGAGGTCCTAAATCTCCTATTTCCAGCTCTTTACTTGCCCCGGTACACAAATTTGGACAAGCCCATGGAATAAAGATGGAGAACAAAGACACAGTTCACCCTATCTTAAATTCCAGAACCAGGGAGCATCTCTGAAGGGTTGAAAGGTATTTTAGAGTCAGAAAAAAAACATACATGCCTTCATACAGCAGCAAGGGAGAACTTAGCTTTTCACATTTGTAAGGTCATGAAACACAATTATTATGAAATCGAGTCATTATACTCACTTAACAGATGAGAAAAGTGAGGTTCAGAGTGAGCGTTAGCTCAATTCATACAGTAGTCAGGGGTGAAGACATATTTTAACCTCATATCTACATGCCTCCAAAGCTTATGCTGCTCTTATTACTGTTGTAGTGCAGGCCCACCATGAACTTGAATAGAAAAAGAGATGGCCAGGTTCCTGGGTGCAAGCTTTGTTGTACGCTACCGAGATGATTCTAGATTATGGGCTCATTCCTACCTCTGGAGAGGACTCGGAGGGTATGGCTCCGATCTTTTGTTACCTCTCTAGTTGTCCTCTTCCAAGACATAGACTCGAGCCAGGCACCCAAGACAGTGGGTACTTTTGATGATATTGGCAAGACGCCAGAAATCTCGAAGGCCCCACTCTTACGGGCAGTAACATCTCCTAGGATGTCATGGTGCATCTGGACAAGTTACCTGTGGGCACCTCAAACAGCAGAACAACAAGAACCAGAAACAGCTTCATGTTTACAGACTTCCCGAGAGGAACGGGCAGCAGGATCTCTTTGTCCAGTGATCTGTGTCCCCCAGAATCTTTCAAGATGAGCCAGAGTGCCGGGTGCTACGAGCTTTCTGAGCTCTCATTTTAACCACATGGGTGAACAGGAAACCCAAGTCCACTCCCACTCACATTCCCAAATACGGAGTGCACAGTCACAGAATGTTCCAGTAAACACACCTACCTCTCCCTCCTCAGGACATGAGCTCCCAGAGAGCAGGAACAATGATTCCTCCACCGGGCCTTCAGCCCATTTGGGTCAAAGTGGCTGGTTATACGTCTGGTTCATGTGGGACATTCCTAGTTTATTCCTATTGTTCCAATGTCCCATCTAGCTGGTGCCACCATTGACTCACAAAAGTAACCCAGTTTGGAGGATTAATAAAATCATAACTAATCATTATTGGATGTGCATAAGCAGGTCTATTTAGTTGGGTTGGGGAATGTCTCACAGACGGGGAGGTGATTGAACTTGGTTTTAAAGGAAAATTAGGAGCTCAACAGGGCCAGTTAGGTAGATGGGATGGGTGAACATAACATAATTTGTGAAGAGGAATTTAAATGTGCAAAGAAACAGATTATGAAAGTAACAGATTGGGTAGGGGCACACACACCGATCTGGCAGGCAGGGAAGTGGTTCCATAAAATGCCCTGGGAGAGGTGGGCAGGGGCCAGTCCACGAGCTGAAATCTGTGCTAAAGAGATGTGACCTTTTGAAAGGCTTCAGCTGTAGAATTGAGTTGTACCAAATGGGTAAAAAACTTTATGGGGAACTCTGAAATAATAGTAATTTCTCTAGCCACACCTAAAAGCGACCTTACTCCTAGATGACTTTCTGGAAGTTTCATACATTACTAATCACTACTGGATGTACTTATGCACAACATGAAACTCATGCTGTATCCTTAGTACATATTGTAATTATGAAATGAATGACTGTAAAGTAATGAGAAAATTATTGCTAAATAAAATATCCCAAGACAGTAATAATTAAGACATATCCTAAAGAATAATGCCTCATTTTTCAATTTCCGGGCACCAGAACCTTGAATTTATAGTAATTAGGGCCCATCCAAATATCTTTCTGCGATAGGACCTGGAAGAAAATGGAATCTGTGAAGACCGTGTAATGTCTGCTGATGATTAAACCCGCACCACAACACAGAGTGGGGTTAGGGTTAGGAACGCGTACTGTGCAAACTTGCTGTGTCCCCCCGCAACCAGAGTGAATTCGGTTTGCCAAGTGCTGCTGCTACGTCAAGAGGAGGAATGAGAACTGACCAGGGCCCCACCGGATATGCACCGGCCCTTCCAGTGACCCACCTGGTCTCCGCTCGGGTCTCAGCTCTGTGACCCCTTCACGTGTGCCCACTAGGTGACAAATGCCTTCTATATTATTTCTATATTTATATTACTTACTTAAACCCTCACAAAAGCACTATGAAGTAGAAGTTACCGCTCTTCTTCAAATTGGATAACCACAATTTCAGGAAGTGGCCATGTTCCCGACGGCAAAGAATGAGCTGGGACCAGCACAGGTCTGCACGGGCCTAAGCGTAAAGGCCCTGGCCATTTGCTACCCCACCTCTCCAGCTGCCTTTTCAGGGTCAGTCTTTGGGAGACTGAAGACAAAATATTCAAATACATGACACTGCTTTGTTCACAAAATGTACTGGTCATGCCCTTGGCTGGACGCCTTCCTCCATCCACCCACTTGGAGTCTACCCACCACTCAGAGAGCAGCCGGTGTTGAGAGAATTCCTATTTCTGCTTTCTGCAGACGACCCTGGTACATCTTGAAAGCAATATGGCCTGCCTGCGTCAACAGACCCCTAAGTTTGACTGCTGATCTGTTTATCTGTGGTGCTCAAACAGCCTTCGTGCGGTCCTGACACGGTACAGGCAAGCACACGCTGTTCTCACGGTCAGTCAGAGCTCTCTGTGACGGAGCAACAGATTTCCCCTTGAGTAGGCTGGGATGGATAATGAAAGGCTGCTTTTTACCCACGGTCAGTTAAAAAAAAGAAATCTCCCATGAACATTCGTTACTGCACCTCCCACTGGGGTCCATAGTGGTACAAACTGCTTTTAATAGCTTACTTATAAAGAAACTTTAAATGACCTGTTTCTTAGAAATATTCTCTGAATTCTACTTAAGATGTTACCCTTCCAAAGTGTTGGACAGATTAAATCCAGGCAACAGATGGGACTACTAATTCCCTCTTACAAAAAAAAGACTGGGGGAGCCAAGGCAAGATTCATTTGTTGTTCTTGTTTAGGGAATGAGAGAAAGTTGAATTAACATGTCATGCTAGAAAAAAAAATCAGACACACAGAAAAACAAATAGGAGAAAGCAGAAACCACTCATAATCTCACCACTCTCTGTTAACACTTTGGGGTTCAGCCTTCTAAATGTTCTGCTCCCAAAGTAATTTATTTTGACAATTGGGCAAGAGATAAGATAAAGAAAGTAAAATGAGCTTGCTTGCTTTTCAGACACGCAGTTTAAAATAAAGTCTGTTAGTCAACAAACACTCCCTGAACACACACCACACACACACACACACACACACACACACAGTCCACACTCATCCCTCCAGTTTGAGGCCCGTTGGCAAAGCAGGTGCGCACCAGCGCAGAGGGGCCCTGTATCAGCTGCCTCCACTGTCTGCCTTGATGCCTAAGTACATGTAGCACCAGACAGTTTCCGGAAAATAAACAATAAAGAAGAGAAGGATTTAAATGAGCAATAAAGATAATAAGCTATAAAGCTGATAGTAAGCAATAAAGATAATAAAGGAAATAAGCTAATACTGATGACAGAAGAGGATGAAACTTTATAAAGTGACAGATTTGACTACATAAAATGTACAACATTCTCATAACAAAATTCATGCAAGAGAAGGTGAGAGCTAGTATAAGATTAAAAGATATTAGAGTAGAATAAAATTTATAAATGCATTGTATAGCCATGGGATATAAAGAATGTTCACGAATCAGTGAGAGAATGAAGGACGACCTTGTAGAAAGCAGGCAAATGACACCATAGTAACGAAACGGGAAGCACCTCTTTCAGAAGGTGGATATAAATCAGAAATATAATGTTCCTTTTGAGAGAATCTGCTTTTAATCCAGTTAGGGTCATAATTGGCTACACACTACTGTTCCTTTTCATTGCACTGCATTCCTGAGACCCACATACACTAGGAATATTGCCTTATATTTTAGGGAATACACCTTTGGACCTCTATCTTTGTGTTTAGACAATTTTTTAAATTTTTTAAAAAACATCTTATTTATTTATTTTTAGAGAAAGGGGACAGGAGAAAGAAAGGGAGAGAAACATCAATGTGTGGTTGCCTCTTGCGCGCCCCCAACCAAGGACCTGGCCTGCAACCCAGGCATGTGCCCTGACTGGGAATTGAACCGATGACTGTTTAGTTTGAAGGCCAGCGCCCAACCCACTGAGCCACACCAGCCAGGGCTGGACAGTAATTTTAAAACGCCCCACAAAAACATAAAAATGCACAGGATGTGAGTTAATATTGGCTCATACACTGTGTTTGCTCACACAGAAGAAACCTAAGTGAATTCGCTGTGAGTGGGCCATGTGACGGTTGCTCTCCCTTTTTCTTTCGGGAGCCACCAAACGGTTACAGGATTTAAAACGAACAATGTCCTCATTGTGTCTCCCTGCTGCAGCGTTTCAGATCCTTCTTCTTTTTTTTTTTTCCAGATCCTTCTTTAAAAGCAAAATGAGGCGAAACTTTTATTTCTTTGTATCATGTTTCATAGTTAAATAACACCATGAGAGATGGATCTAAAATAGAAGAGGCGCACCAGTGGCCTTGATACATGCCAAAACGAGAATTTTCTCCAGGGGCCAGTGGGACACACAGTAAAAGAGCAAGATCCTCTGTTGGTAATGGGAAATAAAGGGTTAATTCATAATTAGTGGATGTGCTTTCAGCATATTGGACTTAGACGTGGTCAGAACAGGTCTCCAGAAATAATTAAGGATTTGAAAAACTTAAAGTGATTTTTTTTTTTAAGTTAAGCTCAAAGAGTCTTGGGTGACTAAGAATGATTCTGTTGAAGAGAAAATCACGTGCGGGCCCCTGTGGCAGGTGTGCTCAGAGCTGGGTGGGCTGCACGTTCTTGGACTTCGGACCCTAGTTAAAGGTAAGCATGAAGGGACCCCGCTGCCCACACACAGACAACACGCCAGATGCCTTCGTGTTTCAGCCTCTACCTGCTTGAGCCCAAGCCCATCTCAGCTAACAACTTCCCTCCTTCTCCCTCAACAATAGAAGTTCACAACAGTAGCAACACATGTGCTACCTGTACAGTGTCGGTCCAGCTCCAAAGGCAGAAAAACAAAGTGTGTTAATAATATTCATGGTGGGCAGAATGACGGACCCCTAAAGGTGTCCCCCTTCAGACCCCCAGAGCCTGATGATATTCATTCATTAAGTCACATTATAACAGCAAGGGAGAGTCAAGGCTGTAGACAGGATTAAGGTTGCTAATCAGCTGACTTTAACACAATGAGATGATTTGAGATTATCTGGGCGGGCCCAACACTCCAATAACTACGGAAGGAGGGGATGGGAGGGTCAGGGTCAGAGAAAGATTTGACAGTGCTACTGGCTGGCTGTCCCCATGGAGGAAAGGACTGTGAACCAAAGAATGCAATCCTCTAGAAGCTGGACAAGGAGAAAGAGACAAGGAGAAAGTTCCCCTAGCACCTCCAGAGAGAGCACAGCCAGTGGACACCTTGCTTTTAGCCCAGGGAAACCCCAATTTATAACCGTCAGAACTGTAGGATGGTTCATTTGTGCTGTTTTAAGCCACTAAATTTGGTGTGATTGGTAAGGGCAGCCACAGGAAACTGGTACGATATTCATCCTCATGTCAAAGGGTCAGCACACCCCACAGTCGCCTCAGAATAATCCCAGGGCGGAGCCACGAGGTCTGGAGAAAGCCTGCGCTGCCCGAAAG